CGCAGCATTATCCAAGAGATGGAGGACCAGGAGCTAAAAGGCGGTGTCAAAAAGACAGTCGATGTGAAAACCCGGGGGGTGGATCCTTCGTTTGCCCCAGTGGATGACAGCGAGGACAATAGCACCTTTCCTGAAACGGTCAGAAAAGATTGGTCTTTCACATGTCGGTAGCTAATTTTTGGCGTTCCTTCAACAAACAGTCTTGGGCGCTCCTCCGGCCCAGGTGAAGGTGATGCTGAGGAACCAGAGCAAGAAGATGACGATGTGTCCTCCGACAACGGCGAGCACACCAACGAGGTGCTGAAAAAGCTGAACTTCCCTGAAGTTGAGAAGGAGCCCCAGCCCGCCTCCCTCGTTGGCAAGGTTTCAGCAGCCATCCAGAAACGAGTTAAGAAACTCATGGAATCCATCACAAAGATTGAAGCTGTGCCAGGGAAGAATGAGATCCAGAACAAGCCACTGGGTTCGTTGTGGCAACAAATTGTCCGTTCCTGCTTTGTTGCGCAACTAACCCTTTCCCCGAAACCGAAAAAAAACGGCGTGTCCAAAACGGAGCCCTGGTAGTATTAGGTGGCCCCAGGTTTCGGGAGTCAAGTTTTGGGTGCGATGGACATGTGGGAGGCTCATCCAAAGAAACAACCATCAGTTTCCAGTGCTTTTAACTTTGAAATGGCACTGCCCTTATTTTGCTTTGTTGGTCTTGGTTTGCACTTGGGGGGCCCTAACATGACTGGGTTTGGACGTTTTGGGACATTCTGGTATTTCCACAAAATGGTTTAGGATTCGTGACTTTTTTGTTGACTGACTCCTGCTTGGGGAAAACATGTCTTCATAATAGGGGATGTGTTTCATCTACCTCACAACTGTGTTTGGGTCCCAAGGCTTCTGGAAGACATGAAGCAGCTGCAGTGCAGCCTCAACAAGCGTGATGATGACATGATGCGCATCTACCGGGATGGTTTGCTCAACGGGTTCGACAAACAGACCCTTCGTCTTGGGGAGTGTTCTCAAAAATCTTCAGGCCAAACGAGGGCTTCCTTCGAAGACCTTGCCTTTTTTGCGCCAAGGAAGCAAAAAGCTCTCCGCGTTCACTTTGAGGAGGCCAAGAAGCTGCCGGGCACCAAGCTGATTTCTTTCTTTTTTCTGGGGTAGAGCCACAAGGCTCTTGGTTGGAAACGGTTTGGGCAAAGTGCCTTCCGTCAGGGCCATCGATACCTGCTGTCTGGACGGGCGGGCCAAGTGTCCTTCTTAGTTCAGCGTCATGAACAGTGAGTTTGCTTCCTACCCCTTAGCCTTGCGACAACTCCTAGGTTGATCAACACATCGGCCAAGAAGGTTGGGGCTCCAAAGGCCAAGGCGGGCAGCAAAGCTGCCCCGAAGTCAGCTCCCGCACCCAAGCCTGCCTCCAAGGCAAAGGCGAAGGTCGAACCTAGCAGCAAGAAGCGTGCTGCAGTCCAGGAAACCCCAACGTCTGCGCGAAAACGCAGGGGATAGGGGGTGCCTGTCTTTAATGAGACGTGAGGTTTTAGGCTTTGCCTGCCGGGGGTCAGTTTCTTCCAACCAGCAAGGGTCTTGAACAATGTAGCTCAAAAGATCCCGAAAGAGTCCCATCGCTTGACGTCATTTCCTGCTAGTTGGCAAACTGCATCAAATCAGGGTGCTACCAGTGCGCTTTAGCAGCAACCTAGTCTGCTGATTGGCTTGCGCTGTGGATAAAAGAATGCTTTGCGTGAGCTCAACAAACTCTTTGTGGCATTTCCCTGCCCCCTTCTTGTTCTACATTAACATGCCCCGTCTTGAGCGTCCCAATGCCAGGTTCGGATGACGAGAACTATTTGGAGCAGCACTTGGCAGAGGTTTTTGGTGATGGGGCTCGGGACCCCAACAGTCAAAGTTGGCTAGGGGGTCCAACCAACTGAGTTGAAAATTCGGACTCATTGCAAACGGCAGTTGGCTCTCCCACTTTAGTCCGCTCCCGCGATTCTGATTCAATCCACTGCCGTGTGCCATTTTGAGGGGGTGGCCTGGCAATGTGGTTTGGGATGTTTTTGAACGACCCCAGGGACACCTCCAAAATTGCATGTGTTGAGCTTTGTTTGGTCTTGCCAAGGCCACGGCTGTCGACACGAAGCGGTCCTTGAAGGCTGCCAAGCCTGAGCACGGGCAAAAGTCTTTGACTGTTGATGAAACTGCTCGCACGGCAGCATCCATGAATGCTGACAGAGACATGCACCGACGATTTATAAGAGCCGGCTTATCACTACCAGTGCCCGTACAAGAGGCCCGATACACTCCTTCAGAGGGAGACGTTGTGGTTACACATTGGGTTCGTCCGCGCGATTGGATTGGCGTTTTGCTGGGAAGAAATCCGAGCTGCTTGACCGGCAATCACCCGGACGTTTCGTCCCAACTGCACTCCTTCTGGTCTTTGTACCGGCAGCACCATGCTGGCCACGCTGTTTACACCAGGTCTGAGTCATTGTGGAGTCGGACCTTGCCCCTTGCCGTCTACGGCGATGAGGGGCGAGGCCCGAAGCGCGGCAACTTCCTTGTGTGGACCATCGAGTCGGTCATCGGATTACATGATTTGCCGAACAACCACCGTCAGTGCGATTGCTCTACCTCATTAAGCAAGCTTCCAGCCACCGATGTGGTTGATTGCAGGGCCACAATGCTGTGCGACCGTGCAAGTATGGACCGGGCCAGCAAACAAATGACCAACTACAAGGGGTCCTCTCATTGCACAAGGCATTTGCTATTTGGCATTCCCCACTGGCTCTACAAAAAGGAAAAACATGTGGTGCAGCAAATGCTTACCCTGGTTGCCCGGGACATGGAAGACCTTTTCCAGAACGGTGTCAGTGTTGGAGGTCAAACTTTTTATGGAGCGTGTCTCGCTTCTAAGGGCGATCTCAAACACCACATGGAATGCGGAAACCTCAGCAGATCCTATCACACCGTTGGCAAATCACAAGGTGAACTGATGTGCAGTCTATGCCACGCCGGCGCTGAGGGGGTGCCGTTTGAGGACACAAGCTTTGCTCCTGCTTGGGCCCGCACGATGCATTTGAGCAGGCCATGGTCAGTGGAACCACCCTTGTGCTTGATGTCGTTCGACACCTGCGGCTTCGACGAGCAGTTGTTTCGGCTCGACTTATTTCACCTATTTAAGGTGGGTCTCGGGCGCGACCTATGCGGATCAGCGGTCGTAGTGCTTGCTCGAATGGGCTTTTGGGACGAAGGAGGGGCATCCAACAAAATTGATTGCAGGTTGGTTCGAGCTTACAATCATTTTTCTTTGTGGGCCAAAGCCGAACAGATCGCACCTGGACTCAGTTCCTTTAGCACTGCCTTTTTCAATGCAAAAACACGCGCGAGCAGTCCATGGGCGAACTCGAAAGGAAGCGACACAATGTACCTTTTGAGGTTTGTGCGGTGGCTGGCTGGCTTGCACCTCGCCATGCCAACCTTGCCCTGCGCTACAGCCCACAAGGTGTTTTTGCAGCAGCTTGCTACTACAATCGACGCAGGACTTGGTGTGTTCCAGATAGTGCACTCGCACGGGCTTTGGATTGACCCTTGCTGCGCCAAAGTTCTTTACGCCCGCATCATGCTCCTTTTGCGAGGGTACGCATCACTGGCAGCCTACTGCCTAAATTTGAACATGAGTGCCTTCGGTCTCAAGCCCAAGTTTCACGCGCTTCATCATGTTGCTTACTCATTGAAGTTGGACCTTGAGAAAGGGGCTGTGCTGATACTCAATCCTTGCCCCTGGGCTTGTGAACAAAACGAGGATGTTGTCGGCAGGCTGTGCAGACTATCGAGAAGGCTATCTACCCGGACTGTCACCCGCAAGGTTTTGCTTCGATACTTTCTGAAGAAAAAGGCGATGTTGGGCAGACACTGCCCGCCACGAAAGGCAAAGCGACCTTGAGCAATTTGCGGCGCTCTTTCTTTTTGGGTGGACAACAGGAAGTTCGAAACACAGGCCCTCCCGTGCCCTGCCAGCCTCAGAGACTGTCCGCCGGCCACATCGGCTACAAAAGGAGCTGCCGCTGCTACCACGGAATTTGGTGTGATCCCACCACTCGACTCGTCTCACCCTAAAATGACAGAAGGTTGCCACGACTTTGGTGTAGTTACAGCTTTGGAGTGCTTTGGCCCTGAGTTTGGCATTGGGGAAACGTTGTAACAGACTAACAGTGATATTGTTTAGCGAGTTCATTCTGCATTTTCTCCTTGAGCAAGCGAGCCATCCAAGCGAAGTGGAAGCTGAACCAGGACCCGTGGGCTCTTGTACCCCTGCGGCGTTTTTTTCTGAGTGACGGCGTTTTTTTAAAGCGACGGCGTTTTTGCCCCCCCTCCGGCGGAAATTTCCGCCGTTTGCAAAACGGCGGAAATTATGTCCGCACGGATTTTGTAGGTATATTCACCCTCTAACCCACCCACGCACGCATCCCAGGCACGCTCGACGCGCGCGCACAAACAAACATGTTTAGCCTGCTGAATTCTGAGGTGTTGTTAGAGGCATGGAGCATTTGCAACTCAACAGGGTCTACAATTCGGTGTCTCAGCATATTGATAGATTTGTCATTTCACACATATGTATGTAAGTATACTGGCTACAGCCCATCCAATGTGTGGATACAATGTATTCCTCAATGATTTGCAGCACGCTTCGCTTTTCACCGATTTGCAGCCACAACACGACAGCCGTTGTAGCACAATAGGGCAGCGACCATTCGGGGGAGGGGATGATTTCCTACGGCTGTGTCAGACACACTTGTTTAAATATTAGTTGTTTCTAGCAAATCAGACTTCTACTATACTTACCTATGTATACAGTAGTCTTATCACTACCCACATAAATATATATATATATATATGTACATATGGTCGACATATATATATATATATATATATACACATATTACTATCTTTACATCTACATATATAGAGTAGATGAGTGCCTTTGTCATGTTTTTGTTTTTCTTCTCAAGGCACCGATGCCCACAGCGTCCACTGCTCAAATCCTGGGGAACAACGAGTCCTTCGAGCCCTACACGCAGAACTTGCACCTCGGCCTTCATTTGCTTCCGTAGACGAGCAAAGGATCAGCCTGTGGTTTCCCTTGGCTTGCCTTTATGGTTCAAAGGATGTCTTTAGACTTTGAGAGAGCGGGAATTGTGACATATCCCACACGGCCAACTTTAGCACATTAAAAAACCAAGGTACGTACGACGGGTGCTCTCTGGAGAGTTCGTGCAGGCGCGGTGGCGACGGCAAGAGGAGTCCCAGTTGCCTAGTGGGTTTTCACTTGGCTTTCGAGCCGCAAGGTGGGCTTCCAACACCTACCAGGAGAGTTCGGGCGGGAAGTTCTCCCCAGTGGGGCAATGCAAGTTTTGTTGCTGCGGGTAGTTGGGAATGTTCGAGAGGCTTTCGGGACTTGGGCGTGTTTGGTGATTCAAGTTGTAATCCTTGATGCTCAGAGACCCTCAGTTTCCAACGCTTTCCTCCATGTTCCTCCCACCCCTAGACAGACCCGTAAAAAGTGGCTGTCCAAGAATTGGCCGCCCATTGTTTCCTGTGGACCTAAATAGACCTCCCACCATTCCAAGAATTCTGTGGGAAGTCCACCGCCTATGGACTGGCCGTTGGCACCGAACAGCTATAGGAACCAACACATGCGCCTTGCTGTGTAAATGGGGCACGACGGGCCACGGGCCCCAGTCCAAACCTGGGTAGGTGCTCGGGGCAGTCCTGAACACGTACCTGGTGCTTTGATCAACCTGGTTTTGGATAAATCCCTTGCATAGGTGTTCATAGCAACTCAATTCGGCAAAGTCTGGTTTCAAACTTCAAGACCCCCAAATTTGGTGCTTGTTCCTCTATATCTGTGGGAAGGCGACTGCGCGGATTTAGTAGCGCGAATTCGAAGCGAACGGATCAGGTGAACCGGCACCTGCTGCGGGACCTCATCGCGCGGGACTTGTGGACGGACCAGCTGCGGGTGCAGCTCATCGCGCACAACGGCTCCGTGCAGCGCTTGGACCTCCCACAGGCCCCGCCTGGGAAAACGCATGCGCCGGTCGAGATGTTTTTTTTGAGGGGGTTGGAGTGGGGAAAACGCTTCCTTATGTTTCGCCCTTTTTGTGTGGTGCAAACAACTTTTGGAAAAGCCAGTTCGGCGGATTGGTCGCCGAATGAATTTTCATGAGCCAACCCCCGATCAAAAACTGCTGTCATCACAGGGACCCGCAGTGGAGTGGTGATTCCGTTTTTTTTAGAGAATACCCCGCCCTGAATGATTGGCGAGGTTTTGCATCAGTGTCAACATGAGTTGTGTTGGATGCCGAGTTGAGATAGCAGGACCTCACCCCCGAACAAACACCATGTGTTGCCTTTTGGTTTTAACCAGCATCGATGAATCATGATCAATGAATCATTACTCAGGATTTGAAGGACCACCTTTTTTCCAACCAGAACCCCTGAAGGCCTCGTCTATGCATTGGATGGACAAACTCCATTTCACTCCATTTGAGATGGCTGAAACCGTATGAATGCTGGCTGATCAACCAACAATTCTATTCCAACCAGCTTCAGGGTTTTGTCCATCAGGACCTAATGCAGCTGGAATACAGCATGACTTCTGGAATGTTTCCATCAGCCCTCAGGACCTCAAGGAGCTGTACAAGACGGTCTGGGAGATCAAGCAAAAGGTGGTGCTCGACATGGCAGCAGACCGGGGCGCCTACATCGACCAGAGTCAGTCCTTGTGCCTCGCTTGTCAGGGCGAGGGCCTCTCCAATGGGTCTGGGTGTGGTTCTTTGGGGGGAAACCCCGTTTTGGTTGGTCGAACAAGGGAAACCAAAAGATAACTCACCATTTTTTGGGGGGTAGCCCTGGTTTGAGACAATCCCACATGGTGTGCGTTTACAATTTGAAGGTTCACTCAACGTGGACCAGAACTTAGTTGGTTTTTTTTGGGGGCGGACGCTCGATTCATGAGTTTCAGCTGGTCAATGGTTCTCAGTTTGTGGGAAACCCGCCCAAGGCCTGGGTTGTGAGCCTGAGGTCCCGGCAAACAACCCCAAGGCACCAACCGGCGCGTTCTGTCCATTTGCGTAGGCATCCCTTCTTGGTTGTTTTGGTAGGACATAAGTGACGTGGCCCTTGTTCACCAGGTTGTTTCATACTCTGCCAGGGCCATCTATTTCCCCAAAAGGACGCTTAGGTGCGTGCGTGTTCATTAGGTCGATTCACAAGGGTCAGATTTGGCTGGTCGGTCAGACGGTTGGACAGATGCTGCACGAGGCGCTTGTGAGAGGTGAGTTGAGTGATGGTGCAACCCCAAACGCCGGGTTTATTTCCTGGAGCCCTGGTTTACCTCGCCAGACCACAGACATGACATGTGACATGTAATTCGCGGTAGCAAGGGGATGACATTGTGTAACCTCACCAAATCACTAGTAGGAAATGGGGTTACTCCGCCCAATCATCATTTCAGGTGATCATTCATTGGTGGTTTTAATTGACATTTGGTAGTGATGAGAATCCCAGGTGGGTATCACAGGTAGTGGGCTAGGTTCACATGAGTCCGAACGTGCGGTGTCCCCCACAAGCGCCACTCGTTGAATGGCAGATCATGCCATGGCTCCCTCTTGACTGGGGGTCCCAGACAAAGTTCCTCGAGGGATCCGAGGGATGGTACGACCTGTCAACAGCCTTTCACTCGCCGAAATGAGTTGGGGGACAGTGCCAACCAGTGGGTGCTGGCAAGCCAGTTTTTTCCAGGCTTTGAGTGCGACTCATTTCCCCGTCTTGATTGTTTTTCATGGGTTCTATGTTCTACGTAGTAGACCTCTTTAAACAGTTGCTTTTTGGCAGTTTGCTTACGGACATAGATGGCTCTTGATTCAGCTTGGTTCTACTCATCTATGGGAACGAGTCCTTTGCCAACATGCTTGTCCAAAAATAGGGGTCCTTTTATGGCCATCTGGTATTGGACTTTGGGGACCGTTTGAAATCGAGGAAGTAGACCGCAGTAGACCCCTTTAGTTTGGATTGGGGCATTTTGGTGTTTGATTAGTTGTCATGAGTTGTGGACAGACCAATCACTTCACTTTTCTTCAACAATGTGTCTTTCAAGTCGCCATGTCCGGTGGCTGGTGTTTTATCCCGCGCCGTCGCCTTGAGGAACATCCACATGGTGGACGTGACCACCGCAAAGCTGTCCTCCATGCATTTCCACGGCTGGCAGTTGGGCCTGAAGACTGGGCTCTACTACCTCCGCACCAAGGCGGGTGAAGTCCTGCAGCCTGAAGTCATGCTTCGTTCCTGGGCTAGCGTTACATCGGATCCCGTGGGTTAACACCCATGGGATCCCATTTTGGTTGGTAGGTGAATTCACCACCCACTATAGAACCTATTTTAGGATTGGGATGTTCACAGGGGGTACGGGGTTGTGACCCATAGCCACATGGAGCCTTGCGTGCAAATGCAAGTACGTGGATTGTAGGCTGATCGCATTTCAAGCACAGAACACGACATCGGGAAAACCCACACACCGCAAAAACAGCTCGCATGTGGTTTGTTTGTTTAGCGGTTGGCCAGCAGACAAATGCACAAAGCGCGAGTTGTTATTTGTCGCCTGTTGGCTGTTCAGAAACCACAACACAGCTGAGAAGCACCAAAAAAGAAGCGTGACTCTTTTGGAGAAGATGCGGTCAAGAGGGACATGTTGCCGTGGTTTACCCGTCCAAATACGTTGCCAACTGCCCCAATCCAGAAGGGTGATGCGCGCACACACAGACACAAACTTCCCGCGGGGGTAGTGGATTCGGGGCTCTTCAACGGCTGCCATGCATTTTGAGGGTGTGCCTTGGATTAATCGCTACCGCCCCCCCTTTCCAATCATGGAAGTGGACAGAACTCATGTCCAAGATAAAAGTCGTCTTGCAGCAGGGTCTATGCACCAAGCCAGGTTTGCGGTGCTGGTCGGAATCCTGAAACCACCAACTGGTAGGTGGTTCATGCCGGTGTCCCATCTGATTTTCATGGGTGAGGGTCGCCATTGCCGGTCTCGGGCCTAGGCGGCAGCGGACGCCATCAAGTTCACAGTGGAGGCGGGTCGTGGGGCAGTAGTGCGGTGAGGGGTGGGAGGGGGGGAGTTGGCAGGAGATGTTTCAGGGAAGGTGGGGGGTTTGATTGTGACGTTGTTTTGAGGTTGCGGGCTTGGTTCTTGAGGAATGTTTGTTGGGGGAATTGGGGGTGGAGCCGTGGGTGCTTGATGAGGCTTGATGCATTCGTTTCAGAGGGTGGCACTTCAAGGATTTGTGTTGCGGATGGGGGTTCATTTTTGTTTGGGGGGTTGGGGATGCATTTCTTCTTGATGGCTTTGTGTCAGGCGAGGGCAGGGGTGGGTTTTTTTGGTGGATCTTCTTGCTGGCTGAAGTCCATTTTGGTGTGTTTGTGTTTGATGCTACTTGATAAAGGCACCATCTTAAAGCCTCCCTCATTTGGAGAACAACACAATTTGATGAATAGAGATCGTTTCATCAGAATCAGATGGAGTGTTGTTTGCAACTTACTGCTTGTTGCAGCGAAGGCGGGGGTTGACCTGAGCAGTCTCGTCGTGTTGTTGGCAATGCTGCGCGGAGTCAGGTACTGCTATGCGTCTCCGATTTTTGTCGGGGCGATTTCTTGTTTCCTACCACTCATATCATTTTTTCTTCAACGGATGGTGATCACGGATGCTCGAAAACGTCTCTGCGGGTGCGCTCGTGCGACGAAGCCTCGTCAGGGGAGGGGCCAGCCTCATTTGGTTAGAGGGCTTCCCAGGCTTCCCCGGCCATGGACATTGAGCAAAGGAGCCAGGGATGATGAAAATCGGAATGAAATGGAGAGCTAAGGAGCCTCAACTTCCACCAAGATCGCATGGCAGAAAGCAATCAAGTTCTTCCAAAGCTGTCGGATGGTAGCCTCAAAAGAACACGCATAAGCCGCATTAAGCCGCAATCCAAACCCGGGTAGATGAAGGTGAGTAAGGGGCAATCCCAACCATAAATGGTTGCGGCCGCCTCGTTAGTCCTTTACATGGTTTTGGGTAGATTGTATTAATACCGGGGATTGATTATGACTCCCCTGAGGTTGAACGCGAAACTTGGTGCAGGTGGACAAGCTGAAGAGCTCCGATTCGGATGGCAGCGTCAGCACCAAAGTCTCAGAGACCAAGACCATCGAAGCTTTGAAGGCGGAGGGGCCCAAGTACTCCTGCGCCGCTCGTCAAAACCCGTCGAAACGGCACGTCAGGCACTCGCTGGTGGTTGGTGGTTTGGGGCCGTTTGGGGGAAGCTTTTGCCCTTTTGAAGCCAAATGGGCCAGGTAACGGGCTCCGAATTTCTACACTGAAGCCAAACCCTGAGTTGGCAAGGTGAATGTGGTTCTGTACTCAATGGAAGCTGACAGCCGGGTTCTGGAAGGCACCCTTTTCAGGGGAGCCCACTGAACCCACTTCCATGATTGTTGCAAAGCGGGCAGACTTTTGGTTGTTGTCTATTGTGTGCTTGGAGTTGGATCTATGACATTTCCCACCATCGGTGTAACTTTTGGTAAGGGATCAAAGAGGGATGCATAACAAAGCCCACGAACAGTCTTACATTGATAAATGCAGCAACCGACCACTAAGGTGAACTGCAGTGCTTGAGATGCTTGATCAAGTCTCGGACAGCTCTGCTTTGTACAGCAGAGGCGGTTGGGGTTGGGTGGGGTTATACTTGACCTGGACGTATGGCAGATCCTGCCGTGATCTGCTGGAATGATCCAGAGTAGATGGCTTTTGAATTGGAGCACGGTGTATGGAAGGAGGCGAAGTGCCGTCTACTTTGGCTTTGGGCAGCTCAAAGCTGAACAATTCGATTGCAGCCTGGGGCAATGCGCTGCCATGCAGGGGACCTTTGGATAGGCTCTCAGGAGAGAGAAGTCCTGGCTCCTTCCGAAAGGATGCGAGCAGATCATATTGGCAAGCTCTGGGGGCCCAAAAACGGGCGCAGTGCTCCTACCCTTCAAAAAGCATGAGCAGGAATGAATGTTTATTGCAACTCAGGTTGGATGCTTGGGCGGATAAGAGAAGCACATGGGGGTTCATGTTCACCAACCATTTTTCGACAACCATTACAATTCTAAGTTGCACGGAAGCGCGTGGGCACCGAAACTTAATATGAGTTTGCCCCTCAGCACGTGGACCAAGGCATGCAGTTTGCGCGTGGGTTCACTTCCACAGGACGCCGACTTCCCAAAGCTGGTGCCGAAGTTTGTGCGGCAGCTGATGTCGGGGGCTCAGCTCGCTTGCGCGATACGCGATATTTGGGGCCCGCAAAACGGTTCCGGGTCGCGGTGCGTAAGGGATAGTCCCAACCAGAAATGGGCATGGGTCAAAATCAAGCCACCAAGAGACCGCAGGTTTTAGTCCATGTCGCCATCTACCAGGGTTCCATTTTGGGTACCTGTTTTTGACTTACAGCCAAATAGCTGCGACAGCTTTTTGTCTTCTTCCCATGGTTTTGGGTAGACCCTTGTAGCAGACTCGAGTAATTACTGAGTTAGAGCCATAGCAAGGGGAGCCAAGGGAAGATTTTGCTCTCGATGGGGCCTTAATGTGCCTTCATAGCAAATAGGAACTAATAGTCACTGGTCACTCGCAGTCACCAGGCTGTAATGGCTCGCATTGCTATGGCTTTGCATCAGTAAAAGGTGGGAAGAGGTCCAAGGTGTAGTGGGATAGTGCGACCCGAGAGAGTCGGTCGCCGTAGGAGCAACAGTGGCCAGTCCTGCAACGCCTTAAGCCGCATGCTGGTACCTCAAAGCCGCCCGGGACCTGGACAACCGGCACCCGGGGCGTTATTGTGGCTGTGGCTCAATAAACCGGTGGAAACATGGACCAAAACCCGCGTTTCAACATCCTAGGGTCTGTCCGATTCGCCTTTTGACTGTAGGGGAGCGAATCCACAAGGTGAATGTTCTCCAAGGCGAATCGACTGGATCTGACCTTTTGGTTTTCCTGTTCTGCTCCACTTTTAGTCAAGGAAACAGATGTTCCCCAGTGCTCCAAGACCCAAGGGGTAGGGAAATCATAGTGTTCACTATGTCGGCAAGTGCCTCTTTCAGCTATGCCGAACATGAGCCAGAGTTCCTCTATTTTGTTGAAGTCAAACATAATTTATCACTTCCTGACTTCCTGGGCTTTGTTTTGGGAAGACCATTTTAGTGGCAAGCAAACCGTTTGGCCGTTTTGCTTCTTGCCCATCCACTCAGGAAGTGAGCTTTCATGGGTTTTCCAAGACATGGTGCAATGCTTGGGCCGAGCACCAAGCAGCCTGAAGGGACACTTTTGTGGATGGATTTAGGAGACACTCGGAGACATCACCAAACGCCGGGATCCACTATAAGAGCCGCTCAGGAGCGTGCAGGTGTTTGTTGAGGGTTACCCAAACATCTTCCAATCCAAAAAGCGTGGCCCAAGTGAATGATGCCCCTAAGAGGTTCTTTCTTGCGGGTCCATGAAGGTTCTGGCGGACTCCATTTGGGCAGCCCTTCTAGCACCCATTTCAAAAATAACCAGCAGCCCTGCTTGGGTGGTTTCATTGAGTCTTCGTTGGCCCACCATTTTTTTTGCTGCGTTGTTCCGGCCGGTTCTTCTATGGAGTTCCGATCGCTTGCACCAAACCACACTCAAATGCGTTTTTGGCATCCGGAAGGAAGCCATGTGCTAGGACCCATGTAGGGTCAAATTTGGGCGTTTCCCCCAAAACGGGTGGGGCTCTTGGTCGGTTTTGACCGGGGGACACGCGTGAAAACCGGACACCGGAAACCGCATCCTTCCGAATTGGTCAAGGCTTCTCGCCGCGTGTCCGCCGGGCCATCCCCGCCAGACGCCTTCCGCCTCAGGCTACCTGGAGGCCGTGGAGCTCGCCCAGAAGGCCGTGGCGTGGCGTTCGGGAAGGAGCACCTCGGGGGGGTGTTAAAGGGAAAGTGGGCTCGAGGGAAGCGAAACAGAAAAAAAAAAAACATGAGGGGTTTAGGGGAAACTGGATAGATTGAGAAGAAATTATATAATATATATATATACTAGGATGGTTGATTGGGGTTTCCTGAAGAGAAGCAAATCACAACGAGCTCACCATGTCAGCTTGGACACCATGAAGGTTCTTTGGCGGGTTCTGGCGTCCAGGACCGTACCTCAAAGGGTGTCTGAAATGAGGGTTGTTCAAAATCGGCAATCAAACGGGAAGGAGTGTTGCTTAAAACGGGCCGTGAGGGTTGGATATGCGAAGTTTGGTCCCTTGGGCTCCCGGTTTCCCTGGGTCGTTTGACACCCCTGAGCCGGCTTTTGCGATACCCAAACAGCTTCATCAAGTTCAGAAGAGATGAATAGGTTTATCCGACAGTGTCAGCGATTGGAATACAACGCGGCATATGCAATACAAGCAATCCAATTGAACACCTGTCTCAGCTCGTTTAGACGGAAAGCTCTGAAACAATATTGGAGGATTCAGGCTCGGTGGGTGCCAAGGGCACACGCAAAGCACAAGTTCTGAAGTTCTGACCCAGATTACTTTTTGATTTCCCAGAGCTGTTCAAGGGGTTCCCTATTTTGAGACAGACCTTGATGTTGCTGGTCATTTGGCAGGTGGACTCACAGTTGTCCCCATGTCCTGTTCCTGGAATATGTAGTTGTGACCGCGGCACATGTCTACCCCGAGGCAAGCGCAATGGCAAAAGATCAGCTCACCTCGCTGACTCGCCGGGCAAACTGTGGTTACACGCCCCCTCACCGGTTTCTGTTGAAGCGCATGCCGGACGACACTGCTTGCGCACTTGTTTAGACAACAGTATGGGCCAAAATTATGCCATCAGAGGACCAGGTTTTAGTCTTTGGACCATCTACAAGGGTTCCGTTTTGGGTTTTGCACACGCAGCCACATTTGCCGCCCCTGTCAGGTGGCAGAGGCTACGGCAGCTGGTCACTCGAGTGATGAGAAGGCACGGGCGCCATCCAGCAGCGAGTCATGTAGACCGGCCTAGCAATCCAGACATGGGACTCAGCATTGACGGAAAACAAAAACATACAATATCGATTGACTTGCGGAGGTGTCCTTTTTGGTTGGTTTGGGTAAAACAAAATTAAAGGGCCCTGGTTTACCCTGGTGGTTCAATTATCTACCAGGGCCATCTATTTTCCAAAAAGGGACATCTATGTTGAGGCGCGTTGAGTGTGGCAAAGATTGCTACAAGTGCCACTCTTTTGAGACCCTGGTGCCAGCCCTGTGTCCATAGAAGTGTTTCTTACGAACGCGTAGTTGTTGGGTTCCATGTGTGCTCTGAAGTTTGGAACCTTTCGGATGGTACTAGGGAGGTCAATTGGAAACTGGAATGCCGTTGGATCCAACACCGATGATACTTCCCCAAAGGCTTATGGCTACCCAAAAGTAGCCCATAGTTTGAAAATGACAGGAGCCGAAAAGGGGAAAGGCCACCCTATGCACAGGGCACTTGATCTCGCATTGTGTCAATAGATCAAGGCCAGCGATGCGCAGGCTTCGATTGGTCCCTTGGTGTCTCAAGAGCTTGGACCTTAGCTGCCTCGGTTTTCCGGGTCAGCGTGTGGTGGCAGTGTATACCTTCGCAAAGTGATGAACTCACAACATGTGGCTGTGGGTCAAAGATGCGTGCCCAAAATGGAAGCCTGACCCCCTGTGGGTTTATTTTGACCCATACCCACGTGTCAATGTAGGCTTTAACGTTGACCAGGGGTTTTGCGCGCTGCTCATTTCACAGTCTTAGTGCCAGGTGTCTCAATGCTGAGGCACTGGACGCGAGTACAGGGCTACATTGAGACCGGCATCAAGGAGACCCGGTGAGGCGAAATTCGGCGTAAGCCAGGCTGCGGAAGCCCGCTTTAACATAGGTCCCTGTGGATATACGAAGTCCTGTACCACCTAAGAAGCCCTGGAATCATGATTCCCCTGTAAATACCAACAAACAATGCTTTCAACCATGGTTTCAAAGTGGTGCGAAATGGATTTTGCAACCATCCACTGTATTTTCCGGTTCAGACCGTTTAGGCATCACCTGTTCATTGCCACTAGACGGTTCTTAGTGGGGTCGGAGCCCCGCTTTTAGGGAAGCCTGACTAGCGATGAGCTGTAAATGGTTGAAAACTTTCTACAACCGGGTGGCATAAGATCCCCTGTAGATCGTTTTTGCCAAGGGGTTCAACGAATGGAAACTCATACCCAAATGAGTTGTTTAGATCAGCCAGACAGGGCCAGGCTCATGGGACAAAGGTCCCCGGCCCCTGGATTCGGACACACACCCACTTGAGTTCTACTGTGGAAACATCCGAGCCAGGCACTGGTTGGTAGGTGCTCTATCCCCGTTCTAAGGCTTCATCCATCCCAACTGGCGGACTTTGTCCATAGGGATGTCAGCAATCTTTGAAGGGCTTCAATGAGCATCTACTGGTCGCATGGATCTGAATCTACGAAGCTGCTCAAACTAAACGTGTGCGGCCGGTTTCCAAAGGGCTTGTTCCAGGTGATGCAATAAACAAGCAGGTTTTGCACGCGGCAAGCACCAGTAAGAACCTTTGGCTGGAAATGTGTGTGAGGCCCTTGATGGGCCAGTCTCCAAGAGGAGCCGCAAGAAAACCCACCTTTGGGTTCGCCTAAGACATAGCCCTGGGCTGCACAGAGGGCTCCGGTGGTTTGGACCACAAGCTGCTCAAGGCACTACCTGGCTCCCGCAGTAATGTTTGGAATATGTTGGAATGGTCGGGTGGTACCTCCCAATAAAGGGCAGTTCCTAAACCCGACATTCTCACGAAATGTGGGGAGCAGAGGGCCCCCCCCCCCCCCCCGTTTTTTTCTTCTTCAATTGCGGGGTGGGGCAACAACTGCGTTTCCGTGAAATATGATGGCAATCTTTGCCAGGATCCTTTTTCAAGAAGGGGTAGATGGAATAGGTAAGGGTCAGTTCGACCCCATTCCAATTGAACCGTTTCGCTAGGAAGGGTTTATGCGGGACTGGGCCCAACCAGACCCCTACGCCATTTCCCTTTGGTTTCGGCCTGGCGGTTTGAGATCCCGTGGTTTCCATCTGAAAAACGGGCGGTTTGCATGCCCACCAAATCTCATGCGGAACGGCAGAGAATAAAAGCCGAAGCTTGTGCTTTGCATCTTCCCTGGCAGGGGGCGTGGGGGATGGAATGTTCTGGATATCTTTTCCGTCAGAGAATGAATCGTGCTGTTTTGGCCTTGGCAAGAGAATAGGTTGGTCTTCAGAGCGAAGAATTCCACATTCCTTTATTTAGGTTGGATCTCAGTTGGGCATGATTCCAATTCGGGGCATCAAATTTAGCTCGGGATAAAGAGATCCACCACTTTGAGATTCCAACTCTCCAAAGTCATACAGGCAACCGGGCAGGTTCTGGTCCTTGGTTCAGGGTTCCAGTTTTTTGGGTGTTGCCCTATCTTTGACCCACAGCCCTTGCTATTTGTTCTTATCGTCTGAGTCGCCTCTCGGCTTTTTTTGGAAGGAGGGCGCCCGGCTGGTCACCGGGGGCTTGGGGAAGCCTGAGGGCTTCTCAGATGGTTTCTTCGCCCGGGGCCCGGGGGGTCGGGGGGTCGGGAGTTGGTTTGCTCCTTGTTGTTTGCTCCGTTTTGTGATTGGCTCAGTCAAGCGCTTGGGTGAAAGTTGATGGCAAAACTCTTACATGTAGCCATGACCTTTAGTTGCCTGCATGGGAATTGGGCCATCTACTTTCACCTTGGTGTACCCTTTTTAGGTCATGTATATATACATGTGTGGCAAGCAAGATTGGCCTGTGTGCGGTTGCCCTATGTACCTGCGGTATGGCCGATATGACTGGTCGAGGTAAGAGCATGCCAATGCAAGACGCGCAGGACCAAGGTACAAAGCAGGTCTGAGGAGCGAAACTTCATGCGGTTGTGTCTTAAAGTTGGGACCGTTCAGTGCAGGGCTGTGGGAAATGCCCACTTCTGTGATACACCAAAACGGGCATCTTAAAGACTAAGCCCCCACATGAAGGGGGAGATTCCCTTGTATCACAGAAGTGGTTGGAGAATCCCCGAGTGATCCCACAAGTCTGGTTCAGTATCTTGGTTTCCCTCTGGCCGGGGACAAAATGCCTCAGGTGAAGCCCACCGTCTTCGCAGACGCGGCGGGCTAAGGAGGCCCAGGTTGAGGGCACGGCCTGAGTCGGTTTGCAACAGAAGTTTTGTATGTGGCTGCCTGGAAACGGGCACCTTTGAGACGTGAAAGTTTGAAGCGGGAGGCTCCCGTCTTCTTAACCTAGGTTTGCAGACTCAAGGAAACAAACAGTATCATTTTACAGATGTGTATATATATATATACATATTGTAAACATATGTACTGTATCAACATATGTGTACATATATATATATATATACGTACCTTGAAGGAAGGTTCAAGACCCCTGCTTGAATGGTCAACAGGCACCTCGTCCAATGGCAGCATTTTGCTCGAACTTTTAGTCTGCCTCTCTTCCCCCAGACTCTTCCCTCTCCTAGCCTGCAGCTCAGACTCGCGCGACGGCATCCAAGTCTCGAGACTTCGCGCTCGTTGAGCAGGGTTCCATTTCCTGTTTGGTATGTCGCGCTCGTTGGGCAGGGTTCCATGCAGCTGCCTGTTTGGTTCTGGTCAATGTCCAGCTCGGGAAATGGGGCACGCGCCACTTGTTGCTGGACTCAACCGCTGGTGTCTCCATGGCTTTTACTGGATGGGTCGTCTACTATGGATATGTCCGGGAAATAACCTAGAAGAAAGTCAGGTCCGCTCCCACTGAGGTGACTGGACTGAGTTATCTTCTGGCCTAAACCCTGGTTTCCGCTGCCAACTCTGTCCTGTCTGGTCCGTTTCGATTTACAACAATCGAAGTCGTCACGTATGGTTGTGTTTGTCGCATTATGACTTGAGCGAAGTTGCAATTGCCTTAGGAGTGGTTGTTTTCCGCACTTTTGCAGGAGTTCAAGAGTGCCATGATCTTCTCAATGTCTTGCTGAATATGTTTTGTCAGACCTGCCAGAAGGCCCCCACCCAAGTCCTTGCTTCACCCAGTGGCTTGCTTCCTTTTTCCCTGGGGGCGGTGAGGGTTTCCCTTGAAAGTCAACCAACCAGAAAAGGGTGCTGGCTCTCCCTGTCTCTCCCTGGCTCTTTTCTCCCACAGCCAATTGGCTGAGTATTTGACCTCAGCCTCGGCAGGGAGCTCAGGCCTGGCGGCCTCGTGAAGCTTCTGCCATGGGGATCCCAGAAAGGAATATCGGCACCTGTGTTGACGATATGAATATTTCATAAGGATCTGCCTCAAAAGTGGCTGGTGGACATAAAAGTCCCCACCTCAATGGTGTCCAAGGGTCGGGGACCCATTAAAACTCACCCCCATATGTTTCCCACCAACCGCTTCTTGCGAGCACTTGGGATCCATGATGCACGCGCAGCCACGAGCTGAGGAATCGCTTCAGATGTCATCAGCTCAGGCAAAGACGCCTGCACGAAACTCCCTGTGCATATGCGCAGTTGCCCAGCTGATTCCGCCCGTTTATGTTCCGATTTCTATACTCAACCAGCCAAACAAGGGTGCCCTTTTTTCCATGGCCACTGGGCATCTGAGTATGAGCCGCAATCCCAGACCACCGAAGAGGAAGGTTAGTAAGGTTAGTAAGGGGCATTCCCAGCCGGAAATAGTCGCGACCGCCTTTCAATTTCCCTACATGGACTTGGGTATATCATTTTACTGCCAGGATGTGATTGTGGCTCATATGTGAGACTTGGAATGTGAGATCACTTGGTTTACATCTTGCAGTCAAGGCCTCAATCAGACAGTCCAGTCCGTCCTGATCCAGCCACGCAACTGGGACATAGGTTAGGTCCTGCCAAGGACCTCTCCCACTAAGTAATATGGCACCTGACAGTGGGTTCCGGGACAAACAAGGTCTTCCCAGGTTTTCTTCGGCGGTGCAGGATTTCGTCCATCCGCAATATGTTTACAGGTGCTATGCTTTTGGGAAGGGTGCTGAGTTTGCAAGTTTGCTAGGTCCTTGGGTTTGTCTTTGATGGCTGGCAGGAGGGAATCATGCAGCTGCAACAGCGAAAGCCACAGCTGCTCGCTTGCAGCCGGTCGCAATGCTCCCGACGGTCGCCGGAAGCTGCAACCCCCAAGGGGGGACCACGTCAAAACCAATCGATCCCTGCAAAAGGGAATATGTTTATTTTGCGCTTTCCTTTGTAACAATATGTAATATGTTGTGTGCCATGGTTCAAAACCCCGTTTGCTTCGGGTTGGTCGGCATGGTCATAGACCCCTTACAAAGGATTTGAGACAACACCTATCAGGATTCAGATTGAGGGAACCTTGACCAGAACCCATATTTTGGGAGCTTTGACCGTGGCACACATATATATATATATATGTATGGTTTTCCAATTGAAATGGCCCAGACGGGTCCTTGGCCTTTGATACATTCCTGCTTGTAAGGAAAACTCTCGCAACGCCGGAGTCACAGGGGTATCGGTTTTGGGTGGGGTTTGTATGTGATTTGGCTCATTTGGGTAGTCACATCGATTTCAGGTAAAACGAGTTTGTGCCAAAATAGGGAGGCGCTCCAACAAAATTCGGTGTGTATTATTTTGCGAACCCCAGAAAATGTGTGTGTGCGTGTTGTTCCTCTCGGCTTCCCTTTTATCCAACCAAAAGGGGTTGCCCTTAAAGAAGACACCCCCACCTGTGTTTCTCCTGTTCCCTATTTTTCGACCGACCTGAAACGATACTAAGTCCTCAAAACATGGAATATCACTTCAGCACCGTGCCTTTTCCTGGGGCTTCAGGCGTCCTTTAGTTTCCCAACCGGACTCTCCACTCGCGTCTGGAAATTGTTGGAGCTCCGGAAAAGGAAAAGGAAGCCTTTGAGCCGGCAACAGGGAAACCACGAAACCACAACATTGACATATGCGCAACTCAAAGCCAGAGGTACCAGTAACTCTTTGGATGACGCAAAACCAAAGCAAATGCAACACCTCCAGGTCTGGTATTTGGACCTCTTTGCAAAGTTTGAACGCAAGACCAAAGTAAATGCAACACCTCCACACCTAGGTCTGGTGCCCCAACTTTTGGACCCCTCTTGGACCCACCCAGTCACCTCTCTTGGACCCCTCTTGGACAACCCCTCTTGCTCCAGAACCTCCCCCAGTCTCGTCGCCTCGCATTCCCAGGTTGTCGCGTTTCCCGCTCGCCGCTCCGGCGAATGTCTGCGAGCGAGCCCTGGAGAAGCGCCTTGGATTCCCAGTTGCGGATTTTTTGGCAACCGGAAAAGAAAACGGTTGGGTTTGCTTTGGGTGTCCGTTGGCGATTTTTGATTTCCTTTGGTTTCCCTTGGTTTTTGTTTTTGGTTTCCTTTCCTTGGGGTTTCTTTGGGATCCCTTGGTTTCTTTTGGTTTCCTTTGTTTTTGAAACAATGTATGTATTTGTTTGTGTCTTCAGACCCGGTAACCTTTGCAGATTGGTTCAAAAGGAAAGCCATCTATTTTGGGGTCCACTTTGACACATACCTCTGGCCAAACCTCAACAGCAAACAACTGGTTACAATTATGTTTGTTTGTTTTATTTGTTTTTGGCCAGGTACTGTCTACCCCTGCCGCCTGCCCCCAAAAAAACGGCCGGGGAAGCATGCAGGCACCCGTGTACCAAGCAATGGTTGTTTTGGCATGCTAAAACAGGTGGTTGGCGAGCATATTGTTTCTGCAGTGTTTGCTCTTTTCCAACTTTGGTCCGTATGTAGTCATGGCCTCACAAAAGGGTTGTTGCAATGCGAGGGTGCATAAAGTGATTCCAGCGGACCTCCGGCTTTAAGTGGACAGGTGGTGATTAGCTTGATTTGTCCAGGGACATCACGGTGGAAAGGTTTTGGACCAGTGACAATGAATTTGCATCGACCTCAACCTCTACCCAAAACCACCAATAGCCTGTCCGACAACCCAAAGGACAGGACGCACATCATCAGCACCTGCCAACAGATTCATGACTCACACTATGTCATGTGGTTGTGGGGGATATCCCTGTGTGGTGTGCCTGCGGTTCCCAAAAAACAAAGAAAACCCCTAAAGGGCTACCATCAGCGAAAAGACGCACTGGTTGTTTGGTTTTCGGTGACTTTGCCGCACGCGGTTGATGGTCCGAGGGCAAGGCAAGGCAGCTTCAGGTTCCGGAGCGTGATCCTCATTGCTGTCTTGGGGAGTCTGTAGCGATTTGTCAATCAGCCCACACCAAGAACACACGCAAAATGGGCCAAGCCTGTTTTAGACGTGTTCCAACCATCATTGCTTACGCACTCCATGAACAAACAAACCAGACGCCTGAGAACTTCCAAGCTTGAACACACACACACACACACACACACGTGCCCTCTTGTGACGCAATGGGGCAGGGGACCGTAGGTGCGCCTTTGTACAAAAGGATGTGCCATTCCTGGTAGGTTCGACCTGAACCCACGCCTGAAGGAGTTGCGTTCAAATGGTTTCGGGGTCTCTGGAAAAATTATATGTCTTACGGTAGGCCACTTATCAAACTGAATCTGAAAGTACTAGTTTTGGAGCACCCCAGATGTGGGCCAAGGTTTGTCGAGCGACTTTGATTGTTTTGGGACAGCTGTTGCAGGCTGGGGGAATTACATTTGCAGTCTGGAAAGTGTCAATTCGCAGTGCCAATGTCAATTTCGATCAATCCGAAGGTGACGGCAATACAGGTAAGCCCAACATGAACCATTTTCCTTCTTCATGATGCATCTGGACGGGTCTCATTGTGTGACATTTTACGGGAATTGCATAGGGATGCCCCCTAAATTAAGGGGATGTGTCAAAATAGGGGCCCCATGTAAATGGGTGGGTGAAAAAAGGCCCCAGGTGAAAAAAGGTACCAACTCAAAACCTGGCCCAACCCAAAAGTGGCCGCCCAATCCTTGTAGTGCCTAATTCTGTTTGTTACCGTCCATTGGCCTGCTAGCAAATTCAACGGTTGGGCCCCTTGACAACCACAAGCAATTTGGTTAAGTTAAAAAAGACAAGGCCATGGGTCAAAATCCGGTGCCCCCAGTGAACATCCCAATCCCCACTAAAATAGACTAAAATGGGTGCTGCACCTACCCCAAAATGGTACCATTGGTTTTGCCCCGCAGCCACATTTTGAGATCCTACTAGGTCAAAAGTACCACCTCAAACACACACGTCCCAAAGAGCCCATTCGGCTTTGCGAGGTCCTTGCGGCAAGAGCCTCGGGAGGCGAGCCATGGGGGGTGGAATAGGCCGTGGAGCAACAAGCTTGGACTTTTTTTTTGGAGCACCCACTCACGCAGTGAGGATCAATGAACTGATGACCGAGCTGGTGAATACTCAGGATGACCTTTGAAGAGCAAGCCCGAGGAACAAAAGGTTCGGTCATGCCGAGGAATGATTTTCCCATGTCCTCTTGGGGAACGTCTTTTTGAGTGTAGCTGTCAGCCAATTTTGGATGCACCAACTTCGCTCTGGCACTCTGAAAGGGGGGAACTGTTTGCCAGCGTCACAAAAGCTTCAAAGCCATGGCTTGATTGAATGCCTAAGACGAGACATAGTACTCTCGTATGGCCAGAGGGCACGGCCCCCTTCAAGATGGTTTCTCCATATTTTGACACAGCCAAGCATATCCTCTAAGGCTTGATGGTGATATCACCAGTCCAAACGTGCTGCATGCCTCCAAGCTCGGGGATTGGACGGGGAAATTCGAAACATGCAATCCCGATTTGTTGTAGCGATCACGCCAAAGAGGCGGAATGCAAGCTTAGCCGAATGCAGGTACCTTATTACTTGTGGCATATTTGCTCAATTTCAGGCTTGATTGATGCTATTAATTTGCCGAAATACAGTGGAAGCGGCAACTTGCGGACGAGCTTGTCGCAAATCCACGTCTTCCTGGACACACCAGGCCAATCTCAGTGTATGCGTGTGTGCAAGTTAGGGCGGCCCAAACATGTGTCGAGTTTCAATCAAAGGTCTGCTGATTCGCTACGAAAGGGTTGGCCAGGAATCCATTGCTTCCAGTTGCCATCCTACTCGGTAAGCAGGTACCTGGATCGCCAGTTGCAGCTTTTTTCCATCCACTTTACCCCAAAAACCCAGCAACAGTGACTGAAAAAGCAGCCACTTGGCCTAGGTAGTGGTAGACTATCAGGCACCTCGTGGGCCGAGAGTCCAGGCGTGCTTTGAGGCCGAGAACCCGGAGATTCTGAGGAGCGAATCGCTGGTGAACTCGCGACCGCTGGATGTTTTCGGTAGGTCTTCGAGGTCGGGAGGTTCCGAACGCGTGAGCCTTCCGCCTTGTGTTCCTCTTTCGGTTCTAGGGCGAGGACCCTCGATCTGGATGGGTTGCTGGGTTCCTGGTGGCAAACTATTGGACAACCTCACGAAGGTCGCTTCCTTGGCGACCTGGGTATGGGTCGAAAGTAAAGCACCGGACAAGACCACAGGCTTAGTCCATGTTTCCATTTATGCCAGAGTTCCATTTTGGGTACCTATTTTTCACTCACAGCCATTTAGCAGATTCTGATCCGCGCGTTTCAAGAACAATCCGAAGTGAACACGTGTCCGATGCTGGCAACACCACATGATATCCTGTGTTTGCAAACGACTCTCGCAGTTTTCCGGGTTCTGTCAGAAATGCTAGACGATGCCAGAGCGAAGTTTGCTCATGCCTCACGTTAGCCTTTCATCAATGTAGGCTGCCCAAACATTTATACATAAGATTTGTTACCGTATTTTGCAAGTTGACAACTTTCCAAGCAAGTCTTCACCAACCAACCATTTTCTGCTTATTTTGGCTTTCAGGGATGCACAACTGACCAGGACTGTTTGGTCGTTTAACCACAAAGCCTTGAGGAGAGGGGAGCACGCTGGAGGCTTCCAAGCCTGATACGGACCCCGCTACAATATCTCACTTGGCCAATTCGAATTGACCTGACCTGTTGGTTTTCCTGGTATACTCGGTCTGTATCAGTGGGCTAAGCTTTCATTCCAGGTGGTTTGGGCAAGAAAGATGTGGATCCCCTGTTCCTGGAGCTCAGTATTCGCGGTCGCTGGTTGCCTTTAAAGATCGCTCGCTCCGGTTCGTGTAAGGAGCATCCAGCCATATTCTCCCAAGCTGGAGGTTCATTCTGCGGGGAACGAATCGTCCAATTCTGGTCCAACTAGCTG